AGGAGACTTCATGGTGTAGCAGCCAAGCGAGCTGTGGAGGACCCTAGCAGAAGTAGTGAAGCACCGTAGTTGCTCAAGGAATCTTCATGGTAGCAGCCTGGAGGAGCTGCAGAGGATCCTGGTAGTTAAGCCCAGAAGAACCTGAAGATATCAGGGTAGTGAACTTCGAGAGCTGGAAGGGAAGTTCTGGTGGATTACTTGTAGGGAAGTGACAGTGTTTGGTTGTCATTAGCGTGCAATGCGCAGTGAAAGGTGAGTGATTGTTGGCATTCTTATGTCAAGGAGTGTTTTATACTGAAGTTTAGAGTTACAGTCGTCGGCTGGATTACCTACAGATGTATGTGTTCTAGGACTGATAGGGTGATCGATTGATCATTGCGGTGTATCAAGGAACATTTATGCTGATATATGTTATTGCATTCACATGCTGATTTTCATTGTACACATTTATATATATATATATATATATATATATATATATATATATATATATATATATATATATATATATATATATATACATATATATATATATATATATATATATATATATATATATATATATATATATATATATATATATATATATATATATATATATTTCTCTTGTTGATAGTGCAACGGTGTATGTAGACTTGATCTACTTGAGGAGGTTGATAGTACCAGGTGGTGAATCAGAAGATAGGATACCACTTGGTAAACTGATAATAGAGTTCTGATGGTGTTGGAGAGCAACCTGATTGTAATAGTATAGAGTATAGGATTCATTATTATTATATGTGTATATGTATTGTGTATGTGCTCTGTCCAGTAAATGCATTCAAATTTGCTGGTATTTGACCTTGTCCTAGTGAGGCTTCCCATGAAATAGTACAGAAGAAGAGAGAGAGAGAGAGAGAGAAACAACCAAGAACCACTGCTGCTGCTAATAAGTTAAAGGGGATTGAGGAGATCATATCACATAAGGAGAGAGTGGGGAGTCACAGCGGCTCGAGTGGGTGTGTGCACGTGACAACGAGGCTAAGGGTTGGAGCCGCATCCCCTGAATGTGTGATGTTGAGCCCCCTCTCCAAGAGTCAGAAGCGCCTAGTGTGATCTCCTAGCGAGGTATAAGCACTCTACCGAGTTGTGGGTTGGGTTGTCTGCAAAGGAGGAACAACGACACAACGACAACACCAAAACACACAAACTATAATAGACGTCAGTGGTGCCAGATTGGTCACCGACAGCGATGTGAAAACGTTGACGTCGACAGAAGACGTGAAGAGCCAATGAAAACCTCTCTTGGCAAGTATGACGTCACGAAGGAAGGGGGGTCCGGTCATCTGGCCGCGGTGGCACCACCAGTCTGAGACAGCACGTCGAGGAAGTCGGACGTGCGCTGGAGGGTCCTGTCAGTTGTACAGTTTACCCCGTCTCCGGAGGATTTACGCATCACCGGCGGTCTGCCAGCACCTGTGGGGTCTTCCTTCGTTCATGTGTTGGACCAGAGAGGGAATTGATGGAAAATTGAGCAACAAGTGCTCCCAGGACAGGTGTTGTGCAGGTGAAGTCTAGGCAGCAACGTATGCGACGGCTGATAGCTTCACAGTGATGACGTAGTGGCTAGGCCAATCCTCCGTGAGGGAATCCGTCAGACACGACACGTCAAGGTGTACGGATGTGTGAAGGTTGATCCTGTCAATCTTACAGTAATACGCCACTCCTGTGGATCTTACTCGTCACCCGTAGTCTGCAAGTACGCCGAGAGATCTTCCTTCATTCCATGTGTGGACCGAAGAGGGAATTGACGGAATATTGAGCATGAAGTGCTTCAGGATCGGGTGCTGTGCAGGTGAAGTCTAGGCAGTGTCGTCTGGGACGCCTGATAGCTTCACAGTGACGACGTAAAGGCTGGGCCAATCCACCGGGGAGCAGTGAAAGAAGAAACTAATTGGGAATCCGGACCTCTGCAACCGAGAAGTAGGTTGGCAGCCGTAGCTGGGAGAAGAAGTCGACGGCCGGGAGACCGACTCCAACCCCTACAAGACGTTGAGGAGGAGCACGGGCCCGCGGAGGACAGAACACGGAGACGATGCGTTTATTTTGAGACGTTGATTGGGTCCCTGGAGGACACATCAGTGTGTGTGTGGGGGCGTTCCCTACACGAGGCGAGAGCCTGGATCAGGAGCTACACTTCAACTCTCACCGGAGGATTGGTGGAAGTAGGTGATTCTAGTTTCCCTCCCAATTCCCCTTTAGTCAGGTAATATATATAAATATATATGTTCAGTCAGAGTATCTTTCACGTCGTGAGCAATGCTCACCAATGTCACGGTAGGACACAGTTGTGAGAAGTGGGGCTGTAGAAAGCTCTCACAGGATATTTGCGGTGTGTGGATACACCTGTGTTATTATTGAAGAGTTTGCTGTGTAGTTGATGAATTCTTTCATGTGATTTATCTATATATGATTTATCTATGATATATAATCTATGATTTATCTATATATATATACATGCTTGTGTGTTGAATAATTTCTCATGTGTGCAGTGATCAATTGAATATTCGCCTACGAAAGGAATTACTGAGAACTCCAGTATTATATCTTGTTGCATTCGTTATCATTATATGAAATACAGTGTGTTACGCCATGATAGTGAATTATTATGTTCATTAATATAGAGATGTTTGATTGAGCTCAAGATCAGTGCAGTGATTCGATTGCGTTCTATTGCCATTATAGCAGTAATCGTGTTTTGTGATAATACAGAGATAGTTGAGAATTTAAAGAAACAGGCGCATAATGCCAACAAACAAATAGTGCAGTAAGAGATCACGCAGTTGTCGCCCAGCTGATTTTGACGTTTGACGTGAGGGGGAGCCTTGCCAACTTGGTGCGTCCCTGATTATATGTGGAGAGCGAGCGACTTTTGCATGAACTAGCAGTTTGCTTGTTGATATAAGAATATGATGTCTTGAGTTTTAAGTAAAATACAAAATTCCTTCTCGTTTGTATTACCCCTCCATAATTCTTGCTGCTACCTAACTATTACAAAGGTGAGAGTGATAGATACATACCTGCCTGATATCAGATCTATTGAGTGTGTTCTTGCCGCTGTTACCACAATTCCACAGTACCACTGACGTGCTACTGGACACAGGAAACACCAGTTGGCGACCTTGTGGTTAATAGTAGAGCCCTTTGTCAGAGCGGGCACACAGTGGAGAGAGCAAACTGTCTCCACTCATCTCTAACTACTAAGGCCGGTTGGGGATCGACTGGGGCACTCTCCTGGCATACAGTGGCGCCGCGAGGATGGAGTGAAGACCCGCAGGGCTACGGTGAGTAACGGTTATCGCTAATAGTGCGACCGTTGAGAGGATATCTTGTATATTGTTGCTCACCCTCTTGCGGTGAACCCTGACGAAATATATACACACATATATATATATATATATATATATATATATATATATATATATATATATATATATATATATATATATATATATATAGGCCCAATTTGCCTAATAAGCCAAGTTTTCATGAATTAATTGTTTTTCGACTACCTAACCTAACCTAACCTAACTTTTTCGGCTACCTAACTTAACCTAACCTATAAAGATAGGTTAGGTTAGGTTAGGTAGGGTTGGTTAGGTTCGGTCATATATCTACGTTAATTTTAACTCCAATAAAAAAAAATTGACCTCGTACATAATGAAATGGGTAGCTTTATCATTTCATAAGAAAATAACTAGAGAAAATATATTAATTCAGGAAAACTTGCCTTATTAGGCAAATCGGGCCTTGCATAGTAGGCCGAGAAGTGCATTTTGGCTACTAGGTACGACATATATATATATATATATATATATATATATATATATATATATATATATATATATATATATATATATATATATATATACATACATATATATATATATATATATATATATATATATATATATATATATATATATATATATATATATAACTTGGAATGAAAATAAGCCAATGAAAACTTGGCGTATTAGGCAAATCGGGCCTTGCATAGTAGGCTGAGAAGTGCGTTCTGGCTACTAGGTACGACATATATATATATATATATATATATATATATATATATATATATATATATATATATATATATATATATATATATATATATATATATATATATATATATATATATATATATATATATATATATATGTCGTACCTAGTAGCCAGAACGCACTTCTGAGCCTACTATGCAAGGCCCGATTTGCCAAATAAGCCAAGTTTTCATGAATTAATTTTTTTTCGACTATCTAACCAACCTAACCTAACTTTTTCGGCTACCTAACCTATAAATATAGGTTAGGTTAGGTTAGGTAGGGTTGGTTAGGTTCGGTCGTATATCTACGTTAATTTTAACTCCAATAAAAAGAAATTGACCTCATACATAATGAAATGGGTAGCTTTAATCCGCTTGACCATCACGGCCGGACAAAAGGAAGTGATTGCCAAGGCTATTTGAATCACTTCCCCGCCGGCAACTCGGATGGTAATCTTGGGCATAGCACTATCACTTCCTTTTGTCCGGCCGTGACGGTCAAGCGGATTAAGGCGCCCTGTAGTTACCAGTTGCGTTGCTCCTGGGAGTATGGGTTCGAGTCACTTCTGGGGTGTGAGTTTTCAGTCGCATATAGTCCTGGGGACCATTCAGGCTTGTTCGCATATATATGTATATATATTTGTTGTACCTAGTAGCCAGAACATCATACTCGGCCTATTATGCAAGATCCGATTTGTCTAATAGGACAAATTTTCCTGATTTTTTATATTTTTCTAAAAATAATTCTTATGAAATGGTAAATCTGTCCATGTCATAATGTATAAGTTAATTTGTTTTAAATTTGAGTCAAACTAACATAGATATAGGGCCAAACCTAACCAACTCTACCTAACCTTTCTTAACCTAACCTAAACTAACACAACTAAAGGGTCCTAATTACGGAAAATAAAAAATGTTCCGATTTTGTTTAAAATTTAATCCTGAAATGGTTATAGAAAGGGCTGCAACTGATCCAAGTTTCAGCATCACACCCTAAACAGAAAAGGAGAAAAAAATACAGAACGTATTATGCAACGAATTTTCTACATTTTCAAAAAGTTGCAGGGAACACATGTGTCAACTAAAATCATTTCTATAACACTCAGATATCGCATTAGCATGTAATAAAGGATTTATAATTGGGGTCTTAGCCAAAAAGTGTTTAGTGCAATAATATAATTATTCAAAGTTACCCTTCCAAAAATATGCAATATATGATGTTTATAAATTTTTATAAAATCAACAAATGGACTTTGGACTAAAATGTCTCAAAAGGTTTGTAGAAGCACAAACTCTACATATAACGTGTAATTTGCATGTAAATTGATTAATAAATGAAAGGTGAGAAACACCTTGAAATTGTAAATTACTTACCTGAGTAAAATAAGATCAAAGTTCGGGCACCTGTAGCCGAGTTTGACATCGACCTATTTCGTTCATAATAGGCACCCTTGCAGATAGGCATCCATTGAGCAAGGTGTGCAAGTTCCATGCACATCCCCTGATAACAAACGAAAAAAAAAATTGTAAAAAAAAAAAAAAAAAATTATATATATATATATATATATATATATATATATATATATATATATATATATATATATATATATATATATATATATATATATATATATATCCTGCACATACATATTACAGTTATTACCAACTATCAAATTATAACACTAAAACATACTAACCTATTGACATTGGTCCGAATTGTGGGTCCTCAAGGTCCTCAACGCAACAATGCCCTATTACCAGGAACAATAATGGAGCGCGCATAAGAACAGTCCGCCCCCTATCAGACACACGAGGTGACTGGGGGCTGGGACCTCCCCTATAGCACAGCAAGGGATGAGAAGTTTGCCAATGAGTGTACATTTACTCCTTATGCATACATCGATATTTACGACGTTATTACGAAAAATTTGACGTTTAGAACGTACGACGCAATACTCTTGGCGCGCCACAGCCGCGGGGCACCGGATTCTGCACAATTACGCATGGAAATGTACCATAAATACTTTAATTTATATCATAACATTATCGGGTTTGCGCCAAAGAGTTGCCAGAACGTTGTAGTATTTTTGTAAATTTTTCAAAAGGATTCGATTTTTTCCGAATTTTTGCGTTTGATTTGCCCCTAAGTCAATAAATTATGTTCCAAATAAAATATAATAATAATAATTTCAATATACTAATTGGAAACAATTTATTGAAATTATTGAAAATCACTCGGCCTATTAGGCAGATCGGGCCTTACATAGTAGGCCGAGAAGTGCGTTCTGGCTACTAGGTACGACATATATATATATATATATATATATATATATATATATATATATATATATATATATATATATATATATATATATATATATATATATATATATATATATATATATATATACATATATAAATTATATATACTTCAGCCTGAAGTCTCCAAAGGAATTTGTGGACTTACTGCGGGGCACACGGGCCACAGGGATAAGAGCCTCGTTGGACGTAGAATCGCTGTTTACCAACGTACCTGTGGACGAGACAATCGGAATGATAGCCGACAGAGTGTATCGTGATCCAGCCTGTACTCCTCTTGACATGCCAGAAAGTATTCTGAGGAAACTACTCCAAGCTTGTACTAAAGAGGCACCCTTCTTGAGCCCGGATGGGCACATGTATAAGCAAGTAGATGGGGTCGCCATGGGTTCTCCCCTAGGTGTCCTGTTTGCAAACTTCTACATGGGTACCATCGAGCAAAAAGTCTTAGTCGACATGAACTTGAAACCGGCCATATACTGCAGGTATGTTGACGACATTTTTACACAGGTACCTGATGTCAGACATCTGCAGGAGCTGAAGGAGGCATTTGAGCAGAGTTCCGTGCTGCGTTTCACTTACGAGACGGAAAAGGATGGGAAGCTGCCTTTTCTAGATGTAACAGTCATGGAAAAGGGCGGAGGTTTCCACACTGCAGTCTACACTAAGGAAACAAACATAGGAATGTGCCTAAATGCCAACAGCGACTGCCCTGACAGGTACAAGAGGAGTGTTGTTAACGCATACGTCGACCGTGCTCTCAGCCACAGCTCAGAATGGAAGCAAGTCGACGAAGAACTCTGTAGGGTAAGGCAGGTCCTAGTCAATAACGGCTTCTCCAATGGTTTCATCGAAGACATCATAAGAAGGAAAGTGAAAAGCCATGCAACCTCTGAAGAGACAACTAACACAACACCTATACCCCCTATTAGACTATTTTACAGGAACTTCTTTTCCACAGCTCATAAAACGGAGGAAAGGGTCCTGAAAGATATTGTTAATAGAAACGTTATCCCTACAGACAAAAATCAGAGGATACAACTGACGATTTACTATAAAACCAGAAAAACGGCCAGCCTACTCATGAGAAACTCTCCAGACACAAAACAGAACGCTTTAAAAGAGACTAACGTCGTCTATGCCTTCAAATGCCCACTTGGGGACTGTAAGCTCCAAAAAAACCAGTATAGGCAAGACAACAACATCTCTTTCTAGGCGTTTAACGATGCATAAGCAACAGGGCTCCATTAAGGAACATATAATCTCTTCCCATAACCAAACCATCGCCAGAGAAATCCTAGTAAACAACACAGAAATCATCGATAGATACAGCGATAGCAGGCGGCTTGACGTTTGCGAGGCACTACACATCAAGAAGTCAACACCAGCAATCAACAGCCAATTATTGCACAACTATATTCTACCCACCTCAAGACTCCGCTCCAATATAGAAGCATCAAGAAATATGGACCAATAGGCTTTCTACAAACACTTCTATTCAATACCCATTGTTTCTGTTCTGTCTTGTGTTGATACTTTTAATACCCTATTAATATCCCCTCTTGTTCTGTCTTGTGTTAATGCCACATCACCCCTCCCACCTCACTCAAATGTAGATATAAAATCAGAGATACGTAAGTTCTAATCAGTTGTGTATTTGTGAAGTCTTTGAAAATGTAATAAGTTTTACGAAACGCGCCCGTGTCGCGTCAAACTAGAAATAAAAATGAATTTTGGAGAAGTGATTTTTGATTTACCTCCAACAGTGAAGCGTAATGTACGAAAGATTGAGAAAATTCGTGTTAGAATTATTAATCTTACTTTTTCGGTCATATTTAATAATATATATATATATATATATATATATATATATATATATATATATATATATATATATATATATATATATATATATATATATATATATATATATATATATATATATATATATATATATATATATATATATATATATATATATATATATATATATATATATATATATATATATATATATATATATATATATATATATATATATATATATATATATATATATATATATATATATATATATATATATATATATATATATATATATATATATATATATATATATATATATATATATATATATATATATATATATATATATATATATATATATATATATATATATATATATATATATATATATATATATATATATATATATATATATATATATATATATATATATATATATATATATATATATATATATATATATATATATATATATATATATATATATATATATATATATATATATATATTAGACTATATACATTAGATTATATATATTATATAATATATATATTATATTAATTATTATATATTATTAATTATATATATATTAATTAATATATATATTAGACTTACAGTGGAAACAGGCCTCCCTTCCTGTCAGACTCGGGGGCCTTGGCGTGCGCACAGCAACACAAATTGCTGTACCAGCGTTCCTGTCTTCTTCAGTGGGGTCTGACAACTTGGTGAAGGAAATCCTACCTGAGTACCTAGTTCAACAGGCTGGGGTACATGATCCCAGCTTCACCGACTGCACAACCAAATAGGTCTCTCTCACAGGACCAGCACCCCAACCACCGCCTTCTGAAGCACATAAGCAATCCAGCTGGGATCGTCCCATTGCCGACCAAGAAGCTGCGACTTTGCTAGAAGCTGCGACAACACCCCATGACACTGCCCGACTTAGAGCTGTAGCAGCTCCCCATGCAGGTGATTTCCTATTAGCAACCCCAATGTCAGCAACTGGCACCCGTCTCACACCGCAGGCCCTCCGAATTGCCGTGGCTCTCCGCCTTGCTGCCCCAATCCACACCAAATACAGGTGTATTTGCGGCGAGGCAGAGGCCGACAGATACGGACGGCATGGCCTTCTCTGCCAAAGGACAGGAGGATTGCATGCAAGACACGGCGAGGTCAATGACATTATTAAGAGAAGCCTTACCACAGCCGGTTGTCCAGCAGAGAGAGAGCCCCGTTACCTAATGTCTCGCAACTCTGATGAGCCTGTCGGTCGCCCAGACGGAATCACCTTGAACCCCTGGAAGAATGGTAGACAGTTGGTGTGGGACTACACATGCGTTTCAACTTTAGCCAATACCTATGTTGACTTCAGTGCTACACAAGCAGGAGGAGCTGCCAATCACCGGGAAGCGGCCAAGTCACGTAAATACAGAGACCTTGAGCACCACTACAATTTTGTCCCCATTGCCTCAGAGACACTTGGTGCCTGGGGTAAAAGTGCTGCTAGCTTTTTGAAGGAGTTGGGGTCTAAGCTAATCGAAACAACTAGAGACCCTAGAGCTGCCAGTTTTCTTTTTCAGCGCCTTAGTGTGGCAATCCAGAGAGGAAATGCTCACTGCATCCATGGTTCCTGCCTGCCATCTGAGGAGCTGGAAGAGCTGTACAACTTGTGACAAGCAGCCTTGCACCCTGCATGTAATCAATATTGTAACTTTTTTTGTGTAATGACATTTTCAAATAAAGTTAGATAAATATACACACATACCAAAAGAATAGGGGTGGTAGGAGAAGAAAATATCAGTGTTCGGTGATGATCCACAAGGTCTTCTCTGAGTTCTCTTTATTTTCTTCTCCGAGGCTATGGGTCCCTACACTTGCACCAGAGGTGGTACCCCTTCTATATATATATATATATATATATATATATATATATATATATATATATATATATATATATATATATATATATATATATATATATATATATAAATACTCACCAAACATAGGTGTATCTGCAGAACTGCGACGGCAGACCAAAATGGTCGTCATTACCTGGTATGACGTAAATCAGAGAGCAAGATTGCAAGACATGAAGAAGTCAACGACATCATCAGGAGGAGCCTCCCTACAGCCCGCTGCCCAGCACAAAGAGAACCACACTTATTCAGACCTAACGACCCTCAGAATTGCCCAGATGGGGTTACCTTGCTTATAAATAATAGGGGTGGTAGGAGAAGAAAAGATTAAAGTGTTCAATGAGAATCCACAAGACCTTCTCTGAAAGCTCTTTGTTTTCTTCTTCGAGGACGTGGGTCCCTGCAATTGCACCAGAGGTAGTACCCCTATATATATATATATGTATATATATATATATATATATATATATATATATATATATATATATATATATATATATATATATATATATATATATATATATATATATATATATATATATATATATATATATATATACATATATATATATGTATATATATATATATATATATATATATATATATATATATATATATATATATATATATATATATATATATATATATATATATATATATGTCGTACCTAGTAGCCAGAACGCACTTCTCAGCCTACTATGCAAGGCCTAATTTGCCTAATGAGCCAAGTTCTCCTGAATTAATATATTTTCTCT